CCGTTGCACTGCTGCCAATTAATGAGCTTAATTAAAAGACCACGCCCCAGCCCACTGCTGCCAACCCGCTACTTAAATAAACTAGTTTTTATGATGGCATTTGTGCATAAATAACGCAGCGTAAATCAATATTTATTGCCTTGTTTTAACAGAGCAAAGTGTGTATCGGAAATTTGTTTAATGTTTAATGCATTTCTATGGCAAGAGGCTGATTAATAAAAGAGTGAACCAATTGGAAGTACAGACTCGTACTATCATCAAAAGTTTGATTACATTTTTCCTGATTTTGTCACCGTTTGAATATCGAAAGATACACAGCTATATACCTTTTTCTATATATTAGTAGAAGGTAACTAAAGAAGTGAACAAGATTTGCCAACTCTTAAGGGAGACCAGCTTGCTCAACTGTAAATGTAGCAATTATGTTGTTATATTGTTTCAGCTTGTGGACTAAGAAATACAGAAAAATTATCAAAAACTTCCGGCGACAATGGGGCTAATGAGGGGTCAACTTAACTTGGTCAAAATTGTTGCACTGATTGTAAATTAAATGCCGAGAAAACAGAAGCAAAGCAGACAAATTTAAAAAACATTACGAGTAATGGGTGTGAAGTTTTCATCAATTTGGACAGTTCAAAATAATTTGCGCAGCCTTAACATATAAGAGCAAAGACTTATCTGTATGTATTAGATATTAGATTAGTGTGTGTTCAACTTACTAAATAATGCAAACATTTCAGGCCCATCCAATTTTTACCTGTCACAGACGACAAATACGTAAATGACAAGCGAAAAGACATCTTAATGAGTATATATATGTATGTGTTTAGCTAGCATATATATACCGAACCGATCTATTCCCACAATCTGTCCACTCAAAATAATTTCTTACCTCATCGAGAACGTTGATCTCGCGTGCCAGAATCCGAGCCGCGCACCACGTACCACGTACCACACCAGGGAACACAACTTGTTCATAGTCGGTTTATTTAATTTTAAAAATGATCTGTGCCACGACAGGCAAATTTCATTTCTAACGAACTATACTAAGTAAGATGCTGTACAAGAGATCTAAGCTATATGTGCAGAAAATCTTAAACATATCTATATATTTTTAATAATTCTAATATTCGCTTGGAATTCCCCAAAACTACATTTTCCAAGATGTGACATGTAGTACAGCTGAAATATGACTTTATAAATTTGAGAATTAATTATGGTAAAGAATAAAAAAAAAATTGGAAAAATGAAGATTTAACAATTTTTTAAAATACATTTTTCACTTTCATCTTTATACTATGCATCGAGTACCTTTTTATAGTTACTGAAGCTTACCTCATCATAAAATAAATAACTATATTTTTAATATTTATTAAATTGGCTTAATTCTATAGAATATTTCTTGAAATTAGTTACCATCATCAACATCATCGTTTTTGAAGCCATGACTCCGCCAGTCCATAAAGCGCACCAATGGATACTCATCTGTGGATGGATGTATTGGTGTGTTGACAAAAACCTTCTGGATAATCTGCTTATCTTCTTTCAGAAGGGCTAATTTTATGTTCGCCATAAAGTGACAAACATAAACATTAACTCTGTTGCTTGTATCCAAAATATAACAAAACTATAAACTAAAAAATATATTCATAAAACGAATCACAAAATTTGGCGACTCTAGCATTTCGATAACATTTTTAATCGATAGCAATAAAACGAAAATAGTTATTTTAAATATTATTTTGACGATAGAAGTAACTACTAAAAAAAATTCAAGTCTCTACCTCTTACATGTTCTAAGATAGGCGTACACGGATAAATCGAGTCGACTTGTCGTCCTGATCGAGAATATATATACTTTATGGCGTCTGCCACGTCTCCTTCTGCGTATTACATATATTTTTATAAAACCAATTCCCATTTTCCCTGGATTCAGAATACAAAATTCCCCCTTAAATATTTAAATATTCAAGACATTTGTATAGCCAATATTCGTAAGCTTTTTGAGGATAGCCTTTACAAATGCATATGCTTATACCTTCCTTTGACTACATACATATGTGTGTATAATAAGCATTTGCGACAAAATTATAAAGTTTTCCAGTCTATTCCCTCTGCATGGATATAGTTTTGTGTATTGTTTGCACTTTCAACACTCTGCCCATGGAGAGTTCGTTGAATATGTGTAAGTTTTCAGAGTTTGAAATTTGTTTACAATACCAAAAATTTGTTGCTGGCATGTTTACAGCCCCAACTGGGCAAACATCGCAATACTCATACAGAAACACATTTTAAATGAAATGTAAGAGGCGAAGTGCTTGACACGACGAATAATCAATACACTTTCCATCGGTATTTAACTAATTGTTAAGGAATTAAATTTTTTTATCATATCACATTTAAATATTTGTCTGCAGTGAAACAACAATCAATTTGGGAGTAAAAAGAAAATCACGTACATAATATATATGTAAGCGTATAGAGTATTGTATGTAATACATATATTCTTGCATATGCATATGTATATCTGGGGAACGTGCTTTGTCTGTGTGTGCTTTCGAACACTTGGGTGTCACTTGAACATGCTCTGCCTGTTTCGTATTTTCATTTATTTATTATTTTTTTTAGTTTCATTTCTTTTTTGAGAAACTTTTCCATTCAAGCTGCAAAATGTCAAAAGAAGCATCAAAATGCCTGCTGAACATTTGTTTACAGCACAGAGACGAGCGCCCTTTACAAATAGTTGATATGTAAAGAAGCATGAAGGGATTTCTATGCGGCGAGGGAGCTGAAACTAAAAAGAAAATAAGTAAATGAGAAATTTGGAATATCTATCAAATAATTATTAAAGTTTATAATAACAAAAGCAACAGCATTTAACGAATTTATTTACAGATCATTAAAAATTATATACTGATAAATTAATTTCTTTAAAATATATTTGTAAATTATTAATTTAGAAATATAGCAACAAAATAAGTAAATGAGAAATTTGGAATATCTATCAAATAATTATTAAAGTTTATAATAACAAAAGCAACAGCATTTAAAGAATTTATTTACAGATCATTAAAAATTATATACTGATAAATTAATTTCTTTAAAATATATTTGTAAATTATTAATTTAGAAATATAGCAACAACATAATAAGAATTTTCTACAAATAATGAATAAATATAAATATTTTTATATAAAAATTAATCATTTGAAAAAAATTGATGTTTTTAATTAATAAGTTTTTTGTTACAAAAATACTTAAATTAACTTAAAATATATTTTTTAATTTTTTTTATTTACTACAAATAGAAATTGTTAAAATATTTCCTATATCAGAATATATATTTATGTTCAAATTGAAGTATTTTTATATTATATGTGAATTAGTTTTTTGTTCAATTTTAGCTAATAATGTTAATAATAAATGATTGAAAAATATTCAAAAATAAGATTTAATTCTATAAATTTACCTTTATTAGCAATATTTTTTGTTCAATTTTAGCTAATAATGTTAATAATAAATAATTGAAAAATATTCAAAATAAGAATTAATTCTATAAACGAATTTACCTTTATTAGCAATATTTCATCATATTGTTTATTGTTCAGGAATATTTAAGCAGAATATTCGCCGCTCTTTGAAGCATTTTCTTTGTGTGTTTTCAAATTCATGAATTCTTCATGAAAACTCAGACAAAGTTCTAATGGTCGAAATTTGTTGTGCTTAAATCAAATTCAAGACTTGTGCCAATATAGTATATAGACACACATATATAGATCGGTGCATGGGTCTATTTGCTTTTACCAAGAAAAATCTGCTGAAGGTCAATTCGAATAACAGCTGAGCGAGCTTTACATATACACACATACACAAACACATATACATGAACATATGTACACATGTACTTATATCTATAGATGCCAGAATGAATGCCTGAGCATGTATGTGTGTTTGTGACTCTTGTCATATGCTTTTCGTTTATTTGTTTGCTTGTTGAGGCTGGCGCTGCCTGTGCTGCGCTGCTGCTGTTGCCATTTCGCTTGTATTTTTTTGGCACAAAAGGCGACGTGCATTAAAATTGATAGCCTTTGACACGGCTGCGGGCTGCGCGGGGCGCAGCCAACAGTGAAGCAAAAGACGAAATGGAATTGACAGCCACTGTGAGAGATGGCTTCAAAAGCTTTGCCTTTTATAATGTACACACCCACACAGATGCCTACATATACATACGCCTGCACGTACTTATTTATGTATGAATGTTTGAATGTTTGAATGTATGAATGTATGAATGTATGGCATGCTTTGCACTTTGCTTTTTGTCGCCTTTGCTCTGGCAGCTGCTGGTCTGTTGTTGTTCGCTTTGGTGCCAATATGTCTGCCATAGCACACATCAAATTGTATTCGTGTACCTGTGTCTGTGTGTGTGTGTGTAGCTGTCTCTGTGCTGCTGTGTACGCAGACAACTGCCAAAGCAGCAACAGCAACAATTACCTCGGCGAAACAACAAACAAAAGCATTAAGATAACAAAAAGACATGAAACTTCGTGTCTAGCATAATTTGCCAAATGTATAAAAATAAAAAAAAATAAAAACTATGAAAACATGTTAAATAGAGTCAAAACAATTAAGTTTACTGAATCATTCACACCCAACAACACAGTCACATGCATCATAAATAAAACCTAAAAAACAAGCCTAAATTCTAAGTTAACTTTACCAGTTAAGTTTTTTAGGAATCAGGTTGAAATTCATCAAAAAACTGGACATAAGGAACTGAACTGCATTTGAATATAATTTACCAATTTAATCTAACTAAATGTGTCTATATATACATGGGATATACATGTAATCTTTTTTTTCTGATTGATTAAATACTTACTATTTTCCTGACTATTTATGGATCATGTCAGAACACCTATAAGTTAGCTAAAATTGTTTTCCTACTTCTTCTTATCCTCCCCTCCCCATTCCACTTTACTTTCGCCTTTAGTTTTGAAAACACTATCTAAAAATACTTAGGGAAGTTCATATCAGGCAATGTTATAAGTAGATTACTAATATCTAAATAACTGCACTCCAATTAAGTTCAATTCCAACCAAGCTATAAGCTAATCTAATCTAAGAGATTATTTTTCGTATCAATGGCAATGGAATCGAAGTTATCGGCGTTGTAGTTGAACTTAGTGCCTTCGAGAACACCAAACATTAAACTTGACCCACAAATTATGCCACAAATACGCCCTCTGTCGGCCAATTTGCAGCGGACAGCCATCGAGGAGCTGAACGAAGTGCCCGAACGTCTGGATGCGGATATTACGGCAATACGCACCTGGCTGGAACAGCAACCACATTTGCGCTCACGCAGCAACGATCAGTTCCTGGTGGCGTTCCTGCGCGGCTGCAAGTTTAGCCTGGAGAAGGCCAAGTCCAAGCTGGATAAATATTATACGCTGCGCACTCGATATCCGGACTTTTATACCATACGTGATGTGGACAGCCAGCGCGTACACGAGCTGCTGCGCCTTGGGTGAGTGGAAGCAGCTGCTCTGAACCAGGTCTATCTTTCGCCTTCCACATCGTCGGCTTGCGTTTGCCCATTCCACTGCATGACGATGGACCACGGATCATTTATGTGCGGCCCGGCTGCTATGCAGCGGACAAGTATAGCTTTGAGGAGATAATTGCCGTGGCGCATGCCTTAAGCGCGCTGAGTCTGCAGAATGATGACTACGCCGTAATCTACGGCTGCATGCTCATCATGGACTTTAGCGGCTATACGGCGGCCCATCTGATGCAAGTAACGTCGAGCACAGTGAAGAAGATGTCCATCTTTGCGGAGGAAGCCATGCCCGTTCGCGACAAGGGCAGGCACATGATCAACACGAATGCCGCCTTCCAAATGAGCTTCAATATGATGCAATCCATACTTCCTGTCAAGCAGCAGGGTCGGGTAAATATATATTTTTTTTTTATGTACGCTACGCTCCTACAAGCTTCTGATACTCCTTTAAACAGATCTCAGTGCATGGCAGCAATCTGGAGTCACTTTACAGCTACATACCGCAAAGGTATTTGCCCACACACCTGGGCGGCGAGCAGGGCACGCTTGAGGAGCTCAAACAGCTGACTTGGGATATCTTCACGGCACAGAAGGAATACCTCCGAGCGGAGGCCAACTATGGAGTTGACGAGAAGCTGCGACCAGCCGGACAGAGCTGCGACTATGACAGCATCTTTGGTGTCGATGGATCATTTCGCAAATTAAACATTGACTGAACTAAAGGTAACTGCAAAGGAAAAACACTTTGAGCCTTTGGAAACATTTTTTTGTATAACACTTTCTGCTATATCTAGGATTGATGTAAATCAATTCAAATCTTCTACACACATATATTCAAAATAAATATATAAAGTATATGTATGTAAAGTATCATGTGTGTAACACAACATATAGGCCTCATACTGTCAAGGACGGCCGTAGTTGAGTTGCTATAAAAACAATCATTAGATTCTCTTCCTGTGGGAAAGGGCACTTGCTATTCGACTTGCGATTCAGTCACTTTCTTTAGACAATTTAATGCATTTTTATTTGGATTTGGCATGAATAGATATTTGAGGCCCACGCGAAAAATTCAGCTCGTATTTATGGGAATTGCATGCTTCTTTGCTATTGCTTTTCTGCTCATGTGAGTATATACTTAATGGTGCGATTTATAACCAAAGTCTTCAATGAAATCGTAAGAATTCGGCCATTCACCTGGCATAACGCCCACGTCAGGGCGCCACCTGCTGTCGGCATATGTGAGTAGAATTTGCATTCATAGGGAACCTAAGAGGAATTGGAACAGAAAACTAATTGAAAACTTTCTCGTTAGGAAATAAAAATCACAAAAAAAATAATATGTATATATAAAAGATGAGTGTTAGAATTCCAATTCGAATTCGAATTCGAATGATATTTAAGTTCTATTTATGCGTACCGCTTTGGTTTTCTATATTTTATTTATGGCTCCAACGGCAGAAGCTGCTATAAATTTAGCCTGCTCTTTGTCAATAAACAAAAGTTGGGTCAGTTTTTTTTATTGTTGTTTGTTTGCCGAGATTTTCACACTCGAAAATCGCAACAAACAGCATTTCATGTTTATAGAACTGGATCAATCGGATACGATTTGTATTTATGTCTAATAATTTATAGTGAAAAGCCATGGCGCAAGAGACATGAACAAATTGGCTTCGTTTCTTCTCACTGGCCAAACCGGCCCAGCATTGATAAACTGTAATATAAATGTGCAGTTCCAATTGATAAATCTTAATCTTAACCAGAGCAATCCATCGATCGCGTCAATTTGCATACCGAATTTGTATTGTCGTAAATTCATTGTTTCTCGAGTGATTTCGGCTGAAGGCGAGTGCTATAAATTGATTGTGAAAGGTTTTGTTTTGTTTTTGGTGATTTACGATCCATCGATGGATTTTGATGTTCGGAATGAGATTAGAGCTCGAGATGAATGGAGCTGTCGACACTCCCAATGACAGCCATCACAAAGTTTATATGGATTTCCTTAAACCCATTTCAAGTTGCTTTCTTTCAGCTTTCGATATTGTTGCTATTAAAAACTTATTCGAAATAAATCAAGTTGTTTCCCTTCTCCTGAGAATCAATTACCATGCATAATGTGATTAGTAATTAGTAGAGCTCTTCAAGTTATTAGACTAACTTAATATCCATTTCATTGAGAATTATTTCTTGTATAAGATGCTGCGCAATTCTTTCTATAAGTAGAAGCCGACTCGAACCCTTGGACTGAGTCGATATAAAGCTGCAGAATGGCATCAAAAGTTCTCCTAGTGCTGACTGTGTTCGCCGTGACTCTCCTAGGAGTCAGCGCGTCCACGAGCTGTGAGGAGGATCCGTCTGTAGTTTGCATTGTCAAAGCAATGCTCAAGCCATACCAGTCCTTGACATGTCTTGTGAAGGTGACGCAATCGTTTGAAAAACTCAGCGGCTTCTTTTTCTCTTCAGTTACGAGCTGTATCCCGGACACCACAAGCAATAAGGCAGTCAATGATTTCATAGACATCCATGAAAGCATTCTGGCAGCTAGCGACCGTATTACGAAAGCTTGCGGCTCGAAAACACAGGGCGAAATTGAACCTGGTGTCTGGTGTGGCATGAAGGCTATCTATGCATACGTCAATATGCGAAAGTCCATGAAGAAGGCGGTGGCAGCTAGCGAAAGGATTGAAAAGTTCAGGAATTCGTGCGTAGAAGAAGTTGTCCAAAAATACGTCTCACGCTTTCCCGATTTTCAAACCGATTTGAATGAATGCATCTTTCTTCAAGAAAATGAGTGAAAAACTTGCTCGCATATAATAAAACTATAAAAAAATGATGCTCTCTTGTTGTCATCTGTTGATCTGGCCTTCTGACAACCTAACTGAAGCTGGAACACTCATGGATATATATTCGCATCTGTTTAATTAGCTTACTAAAGAGCTTAAAAGTAATTCACGCTGATGTAATGTGGCTCTAAGCGATTACGGAGTATCTTTTAGTCGATCGAGTCCCAGTAATTGCGGTGTTGATTAATCTTAGTTTCGATTACGTAATCCCTTCAAAATACATTGCTTACCAAATGCAAGTCTGAGAATCACATAGAAAGGCAGCTTATAGATGCTTATCAAATTTGATTATTGTAGCTGCTGCTACTGTGTACAAGTGACTGACTATGACAAGAACAAATAAAATCAATCACTAAATATACAACAAATTGAATTTACTTTTCTGCTATGCAAATTCGCAGAATCCACAAACAAACCCAACAACAATTTGAACACTATAAAACTAAATAAGCAAATGGGATTGGGATGGGCAATGGGAATGGAAATGGAAATGGAAATATAATGGAATAAAATATAATAGAAATTACATTTGGGCATTTGTTAGATTCAGTTGTGAGCCGCAGCCACAGCTGCTCAGTTTTGATTTATGGTCGCAAATATTTACTTGTCGTATTTAAATATGCGAAGAAGCTTTTTCATTAAAATCATAGAAATAGAAACTAAATAAATATCGCTTGTGACAACACGGCAATGTGGCTCGCTCTCGCACTTTGTTTACTTGTTGGCCAAGGTTATAAATCAAATTGTCAAAATAATGCCAAGAACTAACAGGTAAAAGCGGCTATGCCACTCCCAAATACTCTTGCAAACCTCTTTCACATCGTTGCAAAAATGACCAATCATAAATTTTTGACTTTCACATAATTTTTTCATTATTTGCTAATTATTATTTTATATTATATTTCATTTTACAACAATATTAATATACAAAATATTCTGTAAATAACACAAATAATTTTAATAAGTTATTTTTAACATTTTATATATACTATATTATAGAAAAACAATATTATTTTTTAAATTTTATTTTTTTTTTATTTTTTTTTATATAAATTTTTTTTTGTTATATCTGAATATTTTGAACAAAATCACACAAATTTATTTATTTCATTATTTTTAACAATTTCAACATTTAATTGTCAAATATGTTTACTTACAAAAATAATTCTTTAATAATTGTAAAATTATTTAATTTTTGATTTATAATTTTTGAAATATTTTAATATTATGTTTTTTGTTTATGAAACTTATTTTAGTATTCCGCTACGATTTTTTATTTATTAATATTTGGTATTAAACCAAATATAAAAAATGTCTAGCAACTAGGCTGGCATTGGGAATATGCCCCAATGCGAAGCATAGAGTATAGAGAGTACATATATAGAATTTATTGATGATTTACGCTTATCGCACATCGCGAATCCGCGAATCGCGCTGAGTTCTTAAGCAAATATTGAACAGTGGCAAACAGTGGGGGAATTGGCTCCGCTGGTTCCATTGGTTCCATTTGGCTCCAATTGGTTCCAATTGGTTCCACCGGCTATTCCCCACAAACGGCTTATGCGGCGCCCTGCAACGACAAACTCTCAGACAAATTGATTTTCGGCTACCCTGTTTATTTATTTAAAATTCTTATTTATTATTATTGTATTCTCTGCCATTTTTGTTGTTTTTCTTTCTTTCTTCTTCTTCTATTTTTTATTTTTTTTGTTTCTTGACTCGTGCTGACGTCAACGGACGTGAGGCTTGGTACACGGACTGGGATTCGGCCAGGGGCGCGTGCCAATGGGGCAGCCGAATGTTAAAGAAAACATCATCAGTCGCACTGGCGATTTGTCTGTCAGTTGCTGGGCCTGTTCGGCATTGACCTTGAAGCAGATCGAAAAATCGAAAACTGAAAATCGAAAATCGCCGAAAATTTCATTTTGACTTTTGGCATAAATAACAACTTTTACAAAAGCCAACAGATCAGCTGTGCCAAAAATAATCAGCTCAAATACTTGAACACATCGAGAATAACATACATCGTGCGCTAAGTACAGTACCCGGCAAATAGAGACAACTGTGGCCAAATTAATCATCTCGAGTCCACTTGAACTAAAAATGAGAAAAGCAATTTGTCGATCATTAAACATTCTTTAGTATCTTTCGTATGGTACATATAGTATATATGATCATATAAAGGTTAAAATGATAATAAAAATCAACTTGAGAGCTTCATACAAGTTTCGCTACTATTTTAAGGAGCAGTTACGGAGGGAACATAATTTTAATTGCTTCAAGCAACTTCCAAAAGTCATTCTATGAAAAATTAAAGATCTGCTCGCTTAACTTAGAATAACATCAAATGTTTACTATCTGAAATTATAAATTCTATTTCAATTCCACTTTTAAGCAAAGTTTCTAATAAATACTTGAAAGCAAGAGCTGAGCAGAAACGACGTCTGAAAGCATTGCTAACTAAGAAATCTTTAAATTGATATTTATAAAATTAACATTTGCGACTTTTTATTAAAATACGAAACTTTTCAACACGTTGAGAAGAAAGTTCATCAGCCGAATTTAATTGGCAGTAGAAACCTCAGCCTCTACTTCGCTAAATGTTGATCGAGGTGATCTTATTCACGATCTCAGATGCAACTCGAGATAACAGCCAAATAAGCTCTATTAATGTTAGTTAGATTTTTGTGCAGCTTAACATTAGAGCCAATCTAGAATCACGCTTTCAGCTGGCGTCAATTCACTTTAACACATTCCACAAGCAACTTATCAATAGTTGTCTAACAAAGCCTCAGCTCGAGTGGCTTAAATAGCAAAAGCTCAGCTATCATCAACAGAGTTTCGATTCCGTAAAGCCGTTTGCATTTGTTTATATTAGATACGCTCATATGCATATATCTAGATTTGTATTTCAGTTGGCAGCTCATCTCATTTGACATGGGCGGAGAAGGCGGGATAGACGAACAGCTCGAGCATGTCGAGTGCAATTG